GAATTGTATATGGCAGCTTCAGTATTGAAAATGGGTTTATGCGAAACATGAATTTGTATAAATTCAAACATGGGCAAAAAACTAGTTTATTTCTTGAATTTTGGTAAGAATTGTTGTTGTTGTATCAAATGGCAGGCGTCTTGATGGTTATCGTTAGCCCTTTAATTGACTTCAGGCTTCACAGAGGGGGGGGGGGAACATCAAAATGAAAAAAAGTTGAGAGGGGGGTGGGAACAGAAGAGTATTTCAAAAATGATGTAAGCGACAGACATAAAAGTAGAAAAAATTGTGAGGTGAGTACTGCGGAAGTAGTCGAGTATGGCATTCAGTGGGGTGATGGTAGTTTGAAGTAAGAAGTCAACTGCCAGTTAATGAGCTTTTTTTGCCGTATGAGTATACGTTGCTCAGGGTGCCCCACGTGGAGGTAAGTCTATCGCACACCCCATTTTGGTAAACATTGTTTTTTATTGGCGAATTTCCAACTTATAAACCATTTAGTTCCCTCAATTTTACCCACACAAAAGTAAAATACAAATATTATAAAAATTGGAGACAAAATTGGTCTCTTATAAAATAAAAATATGAAGAAAAAAGCAAAAACGGATAACAATGAGGAAAGGGCGCTAAATAGGTAATATAAAATAGTGCGAAAAAATGAATGAATAAATTTATAAATGAATAAATATAAATAAAAATCGAATGAATAAATGAAATACATCGGAAACTAACTAACTTTTAAAGGCATTTTTATGAGCTTGAACATTTATTTTGCGTATATGTGATTTTGTTTAACTTAATTACACGGTAACTCCTGATTGTTCCTATTGAAAATCTGATATTTGGGGTTGAGGTGAGTTAATTAGGGCATCCGTTTATGAATCAAAACATGTTGTTAATATATGTATTTGTCTATAGTTCCATTATTAATATTCGTAATGCTGAGTGAAGAAGTCAACTTATTATGCAACCAGTGCTCCATGGTGAATTTTGATTGCCCTTCCCGTGCGCACGCGGTTCATAACGTTGTTTCAGCATCAATTTTTAGTAAATATCGCAGTTTTGATTTGGACCAACCCGCGGAAAAATTTCGTAAAACTCATATTATATGCACTCTTGGTAAGAAGACAAATATTAAATATAGTTATATTACCTATTACTGCGTAAGATTATAGCACTTTTTGTTTTTTTAAATATTTATTATAAATTAAGATAACCTTTTAAATATTTGATGCGTAATATTTATTTCGCAATTTTTTCTTGTTATTGATTTATTTTAGGTCCCGCCAGCCACACCATCGAAACATTACAACAATTGATTCTAGCTGGCATGGATATTGTCAGACTCAACTTTTCTCATGGCACCTATGACTATCACTCCGATACTATACAGATGGTTCGAGAAGCAGAAAGAACGCTTAAACCTATTCCTCGGCCAATAGCTATTGCGCTTGATACAAAAGGACCTGAGATTCGGACGGGTTTGGTTAATGGCGTAAGGGAAATTTGAAATTTAATAATTTTATTTAATAAATTTTGAAATTTAATCGCCGATTTAATGTATTTACTTATCTTAGAGTCCAACTGGTGAGGCTGAGCTGAGTACTGGAGAAATAATTCGAGTCACCCCTGACAAAGCTTACTATGAACGATGCAACGAAAAAACTCTTTATGTTGACTATGAAAATATAGTTCACGTACTAAACGTTGGGTCATTAATATTTATTGATGACGGTCTCATCTGCGTTCGAGTCAAGGAAAAGGGTGAGCGTTTTGAATGCCACTTGTTGAATTTAATGTATTCTTATATGAAACTGCAATGATATTTCAGGTTCTGATTACCTGGACTGTGTTATTGAAAATGGTGGTAGGCTCGGCTCAAAGAAGGGAGTTAATCTTCCTGGTTCTCCGGTTGATCTTCCAGCGATGTCTGAGAAGGATAGGCAGGATATCCTCTTTGCTGTCAACAATAATGTAATTTTGTCTGCTTATAGTATCTCGGTTTAACTCGGAAGGCCAAACTTTATACTCACTTTTATTACTCTGCAGTTGGATATGATATTCGCATCATTCATTCGTGACGCTAAGGCTATTTACGAAATGCGCCAATTAATGGGAGAAAGAGGTTCACGAGTCAAAATCATTGCAAAAATAGAAAACCATCAAGGTGTAAAGAAGTAAGCAATTTAACACTCATGGAATCATGTCTGAATTTTGAATAAATACTACGTTTCGTATTTCTGGGCTAGTTTATAATTGATTCAAACCACTGCAATAACACCTTTAGTACTTTAATTTTCCATAATCCTTTAGCATTAATGAAATAATTGATGCTGCTGATGGAATAATGGTGGCTCGTGGAGACTTAGGCATCGAAATACCACCGGAGAAAGTTTTCTTAGTACAAAAGATGTGTTTCGAACGCTGTAATTTTGTGGGCAAGCCATGTATTTGTGCTACGCAAATGTTAGAGTCGATGACTTACAAACCTCGAGCAACTCGGGCGGAAACTAGCGATGTCGCCAACGCTGTTCTTGACGGAGCGGATTGTGTCATGCTTTCAGGTAATTGTTCTTGTTTGTTCATCATTTGCCTTATCTCTGGGCTCATGTCTAACATATTTAATCAATATCTTTAGTTTATGATTGTGTGGAGACTTATCGATTGTACTCATAATTTTTAACCAAACATAATGGGAGCTGGCTAATATAAGATATGACGTCAAGACCGCGAAATGGTTTATGCTTACTCGTACAAAGTAGCGCCTTTATCATTAATTTTGTTGACTCATACCCCCATTTGCTATTTGTCAACCGCTGGCGCACATTTGCCGTCGCCTTTATACAATCATTAATTAAAAGGAAAAAGACATGGCAAATATTAAATTCTAATCCATATTTAGGTTGGGCTTCGGTTAACTGACATTGAATTAACATTCTCCAAAATATTTACAAATCCCATAGCAGCACATTATTGCCTTCAAAATTATACTCAGCAACCTTAGTATATTTTAATAGTTATGTCAAATGTGTGTCTATTTAACAGAAAATAACGAGCATTTAGAATTTTACTCTATTTTCTTTTCATCTTGTCTAACACAAAATTTTCATCATAATTTTTCAATGTCTGTTCCACAACAACAGCTTTTCTAGCCGTCATAAAGATAATGAGAGGTAACCATATAAATACCATAGCTCGAAACATTGGCAGTCATAATGATTAGTAAGTTTTAATGGAATAAGAAAGTAGATTAACTTTGTGGAAGTTTCCTGCAATTCAATAATTCAGTTCCATTTGGTATCTTTCCTCGGGAACTCATTTAGGTGAAACCGGATGTAACTTTGTGGCTGATGAGAGCAAGAAAGGGACGTGATGTGGCAATATCCATAGGTTCTATCTTGGCACCAAATGGCTATAACTCTCGTGACTCTGGAATAACTCCAGTTTGCAAATAGGCCTCTATTAAATAGAACTCCACTAAGTATTAGTGTCCTTCAGTATCTAGTTGCCTTTCCGAGCTGGCTGTGGGGAACGGTTACACTCCAATGCGGCGGTAGTTGGACGGGTAAAATAGTCAGCACATGACCGGAAACTTTGATTTGTATTTCGACAGCAACACTAGGCGCAGTCCTCTTTTTATAAGAAGCAAATTTTAGAACGCCTCATCATTCTAGAAATTTTATTTTCCTCGTGCACCATATACAAGGCTGAAAGTTTTGCTGACATTTAGGTGGAGATGCAAAAGAACAGGTTGATGAAGCCTGTAAAGACCAAACAATTATTAAAGTTTGCTCCGTAAGTGTTTGTTAAGATACTAATATCTTTCCTTATATCTAAATTTTTGATCCTGCTTTCACTGAAGACTGCTTCTCTTCCATATAAGGATTCGGCTGTCACATGTTGTATAGAGGGAGACAGAGATGCGGATATTTTGTTTCCCAGACGTGGTCAAGGAGTCAGAATCAATGAGGCCCTAATCGCATGAGATTTACTATCTTAACTCAAATTAGAGTTTAGCAGAAATACGGTAAACAGATTAATAGCATGGCTTCGATTGAATTTCAAAAAAATGAAATTAAGGCGTTTTGGCTTTTCCTATGTTTAGATGCCGAAATTTAATTTATCGCTGCGGAAGTTCATAACATCTGTAAAACTATAGAACTTCTTCCATGACCTGGACAGTTTCTTAACAGTTGAGTTTATTGAAAATAATTTGATTAACGTTCATATTTGATAGGACATACTTTCCCAATGTGCCAAGGAACCTTTATTTCCTCAACATTCGTGATAATTGTATCTCGATTCAAAGAGTTTATGAGGAAGTGAATCCAGGATCGTTTTTAGTAACACATTTAACAGTATCTTGATCTCAAATTTCAGTAGAATAAGATCAAGGAACAGCGATAAATTCAATTAGAGAAGCCAATGTTTACAAAAGAGCTTTTGCGCATAGGCTTTTTAACATCTCAAACAATTGAAGAAATCTGATTGTTGAGTTTTATGCAAATTTAAGTTTCTTCACTAGAAAATATTAGAGAATTTAATGGCGGTTGCGTCGCTACTGGTTATGGTCTTAGGACTTACCGAGAAGTCTCATTTTCCCAGATGCCCATTAGTACAGCTGTAGCGGATTGCTACTTTATTAAAGCCTGACTGAGAAATCTCTGTAGCAGATCCTCCTACATCTAGCTAGACTCCCAGAACCAGCTAAGCTATAGCCCAGCTATAAAGGAAACAGACGTGTAGCACGAAGCACGTTTATTCAGTACGGGTATTGCGGATCAAGTGTACACACATGGAGCTACTCATGATCAGGATGGGGGATTAGGTTAAACAGAGGTTGATGATTGGTCACTGTTTGTACGATTGCTGCACACAAAGTTGTACGGCGCACCTCCCAATCGTGGCGAGCAGACATGCAGGCATACGATGACGCACGCAGTGATAACGTGTCCCACACAGCTAATTCTTTCAGTGTTACGCTTTATACCAAAATTGCGTCCAAAAATGACTCACAATTTTAGTGTAATTTGGTAATTATGTAAACTTATTAAATATTTAATACTAACACTGAATAAAATGTGTCCATATTTGCTTTAATTTCTTTTGGACAAAACATTTCATATTGACCAGCGATGGTGTTTGCTTGTACATTTGACTGATTTGAAAAGGTAAAATTTACATGAATTTTGCCATCGATTCGTTATTTGAAATTAACCGAAAGTCACTGAGTATA